CCAGAAAGAAAGAAGAAAGGAAGGAAAGAAAGAAAAAAAGGAGGGAAGGAAAGAAGGAAGGAAGGAAGGAGAAACAACAACCCAATTGATAAATGGGCTAAAGATTTAAAGAAAGACTACTATGAAGAAAAAATAAAATAGGCCAATAGACACATGAATCTCTGGCCATAAAGAAATGCAGGTCAGAAGAACACTGAGATTCCACCTCATCCCAGTCAGAATGTCCATTATCAAAACTGACAATAACAGATGCTAGCAGGGATGTGGGCAAAAAGGAACACTACTACACTGTTAGTGGAAATGTAAACTGCTTCAACCACTCTGGAAAGCAGTATGGAGTTCTCTCAAAAGACTAAACATAGAGCTCCCCTATGACCCAGAAATCCCACTCCTGGGCACAAACCAGGCTACTCATTGCGTTATTTATCATAGCCAAGATATGGAATCCACCCAGATGCCCCTCAGTGGATGAACTGATCAAGAAAATGTGGTATATATACACAACAGAATTCTATGCTCTCATCTGAAAGAATGACATTGTGCCATTTCTAAGTAAATGGAAACACTGGGGGGAAAAAAGTATACTAAGCAAAATAAGCCAGACCCAAAGAAACTAGGCATCATGGTTTCCCTAATTTTTAGTCATTAGAATATGCCTATAAAGCTACAAGTAAACCCAATGGATAGTAAAAGACAAATAATTACACCTGGACAGAATTAATTAAACAGCACTCTTAACATTCACACAGTGAGAACCAAGTAGGATATTATTAGGAGAGGATCACAAGGGCTCAAGACCTATGTACATATGATCATATAAAATGATGCTTATTAAACTCCAAGAAATGGGGCACTATTTGTAGTTCTTTCCTTTTTCCTTGGGTGTACTCGCTTCTGTCACTTTTTTATTTCTATGCCTTTTGTCTTATATGTAAGGTTGTCTGATTTGGAGAGGAAAGGAGAAGCACAGAAATGGTAGGACATACAGGTGGACTCATTGCAAAAATGACATGTACAGTCGTCATGTCAAAATGAACTTTACAACTTTGGTGAGGGGGAGGATGGGGGGGGGCGAGGGGGGGAGGATGGGAAGGGATGGGAAGGGGAAACAAAGGAGGAGGCTACAATGCTTGATAAGAAATGTACTCATTATCTTGCCCATCTAATTGTAACCCCTCTGTACAGTATTTTCACAAATAAAAAAAAATCTGTAATGCTAAAAAGAAAAAAAGAAATGGTAGGACAAAGGGTAAATCAATTCAGCAGTGAAATCCACTAGACACTATGTGGGAAATGAACTATATAATTTTGGGGAAAGGAAAGTTAGGAGGGGAAAACTGGGAGAGAATGAGGGAGTGGGTGATACTGTTCAAAAGGAAATGTATTCATTACCTGACTTACGTAATTGTAACCCATCTGTACATCACCTCTAAAATAATTTTTTTTTAATGTTTAAAGAAAAAGAATTTTTTTTCCAGTCATGGGGCCTGGGTGCTGTCCCTCAGCTCTTCAGCTCAAGGCTAGCGCTCGACCACTTGAGCCACAGCGCCACTTCCAGCTTTTTTCTTTTTAGCTTATGTGGTGCTGAGGAATCAAACCCAGGGCTTCAGGCATGCAAGGCAAGCGCTCTACCACTGAGCCACCTTCCCAGCACCAAGAAAAAGAATTTCTCTACCTCTCTGCCTAAAGAACAAGGACAAATATTTTCAACCTTTTATCTCTTCTTTCTTCATGTGAAAAAAAAGAAAGATGCAGTTTAAGAAAAGGGGGGGCATTAAAAAAAAACAGGTTGGATCTAAAATGTACCTGGAACTTAAAAAATCAAATCCCCCAACTACAAATCCTCAAAGAAATATCTGCCCAATAAATAAATGGGCTAAAGACTTAAAGAGAAACGTCGCTGAGGAGGAAAGAAGGATGGCCAATAGACACATGAAGAAATGCTCAACCTCCCTAGCCATAAAAGAAATGCAAATCAAAACAATATTGAGATACCACCTCACCCCAGTTAGAATGGCTAGAATCAAGAACTCTAATAACAACAGATGCTGGAGGGGATGTGGACAGAAGGGAACCTTACTTCATTGTTGGTGGGAATGTAAACTTGTTCAACCACCTTGGAAAGTAGTATGGAGGTTCCTCAAAAGACTCCACACAGAGCTCCCCTATGACCCAACAATCCACTTTTGGGCATTTACCCAAATGATCACAAACAAGACCATATTAAAGCTACCAGCACAACTATGTTTACTGCAGCATTATTTACTATAGCTAAGATATGGAACCAACCCAGCTGCCCCTCAGTAGATGAATGCATCAAGAAAATGTGGTATATATATACACAATGGAATTCTAAGCCTCCATCAGAAAGAATGACCTTGCCCCATTTGTTAGGAAATGGAAAGGCTTGGAAAAAGTTCTATTAAGTGAAGTAAGCCAGGCCCAAAGAAACATAGGTTCCATGGTTTCCCTCATTTGCAATAACTAGTATATGTCTGAGACAAGCAAAAATGGTCAGATAAGTTGATGTTAGGTGAAATGGACCCCAAGATAAGGACTCAAATGTTTTCTTCTTTCTTGCTATTGTTTCTAACATATTTATAAGATATTTATTTGTTGCTTTGTATGTCTCGCCCCCATGGTATAACCCATTTTCACTGTATTTGATGTTGGTATACTTTGTGGAAGGGAAGGGGAAAAAAAAACAAATTATTTAGGGATACAGGTGGACCCATTGCAACAGTGAGATGTACAAGATGTTATGTTGAAAAACGAACTTTACAACTTTTGCGGGGGGGGGGGGGAAGAGGGGAACGGGGGGGGGGGATGAGATGGGAAGGGATTGGAAGGGATGGGAAGGGGAAACAAAATAGGAGGCTACAATGCTTGATAAGAAATGTACTCATTACCTTGCTCATGTAATGTATGGTACTTTCATAATAAAAAAAATACAGGTTGGAATACTGATATGATACCACTATATGCCATCAGTAATGAAAGAAATTTCTCTCTCTGTTCCCAAGTTCATTTATATATTGGGGGGAAAAAAAGAATAAGGAGGCAGAGGTAAGAAGATCAAGGTCCCAGGCCTTCCTCAAACAGAAGTACAACACGCTATCTGAAAAACAAACTAAATTTAAAATGGGCTGGGATGTGGCTCAAGTAGTTGAACACTTGCAATCAACAAAATGCAGGCTGAGTTCCAACCTAAGTACTATCAAAAAATAATGAAAATAATAATAAAAAAGCTAGACATTGTCTTAACAAGAAAAAATTACAAAAATAAGCCTGAAATTTCACCATAATTCCTTGTATACAATAGATACAAAATTAGTGTTAATTGTCTCCTAATATTTTTCTAAAGTTAGTGACTATTTTATTTCATTACAATTTCTGGATACTCACTACAGAAGTTTACAGACTATAACTTCTATATTTTGATTAAAAAAGGAACTCCCTCAATGTAGATAAAGACTATTTGATGTAAAGGTGGTATTCATTTGATAAAGTAGAATTCATAATTTTATGGATTTATGACATTATGAATTAAAACCAAACAACTATGCTTTATGTAATTACTTTTAGCTCTTCAGTACTAAATATATGTTACCACCTCCATGTGTTCTTCCAAGAACATCAATCATTCTACTTTGTGTCAGTTCTGGACAGCAGGCAATATATTTCCATGTTTTATAAAACCTTTTCTTTAAAAAATATTTATTCTTCAACTATCATATACTTACGGAATGGAAAGGAGTCTTAAAAAGGTTTCCTGGTTAACACAACAACCAATATACAATTATTAAAAATAACTTGACTCATAGTCAAATTTATGTATCTAAGCAATTACATGTTTTTATTTATATTTGTTTTATTAAAGCAGACAAACATACAAAGACTCTCAACTTGAAGAGAATTTCAAGGATAACATTCTTCAATCCTCCAAACTTCTTTAATTTCCCCTCACAGAGAATGCTTTGATTTTTCCTTTTTTTTCTTACTTCTTCAGATTTCTTGACCTTTTACAAATAATTTTATAAAATTGTAACTTCTTTTTCCCACAATTTTAATAGCGTGGTTTTATTGTGATATGTCCATCATATATACATATATATATATATATATATATACATACATACATATATATGTATAAAGCTTGATTAGGCTTACCCCATCACCCTCCCTCACTCCCCTCCCCAATTTCCAACCCAGTTTCAGCAAGCTTCATTGTTCCACCTTACACATGCACATAAAGTATTTTCAGCAATAATGTATGTGCATATGTGAAACACCATGATGAAAACCTTTTGAACAACTAGAATATACTTTAAAAAAAAAACAATGGACAAGACTGTAAAACAGGTCCTATGTGTCGGGGATGCTACAGAGATGGAGTAAGAACAAGAATGTAAGGAGCTGTTCATAAGGTTAAAGGATGTGATTTCTAAGAAAGGCAGCTTATGACTCCTGACCCACGAAAGTATTGAGAATTCCATTGGATAGATGCTCTGAGGGAAACAGCCTAACATATTTGGCACAAAAAAACTAGGAGACTGTGGTGAAAGCCTTTCAGTAATAACTTTTATCAAATCAGGAGTTAAAATTAATAAATGAAGTACTGTAAGGCTATATCTATTCCATTTATTCACCAGTAGAGTCTATACAAATGTTAAGACAAAGCTGACAGTACAAAATATGAAAAAAGAAATTCTAGTACTATGCATAGCTTGATGTCATGGAGGAAAAAATACAGATACAAGAAATTATATAAGTTTAGAAGACACCACATTAAAAACTGTAATTCTTGGGAAACCAACAGTGGAATGACAAAAGTGAAATCAGTTTATCAAAGCTAGATTTTCTATAGTGAGGTCATTTTGAAAGAGTTAAGAAATCCTTACTCTTGAAAGAATACATTGAAAAATGTATTAACAAAAAAGTCAAATTAATATTGAAATTATAAATTATCTTCCATTTCTGCTTTCAAAATGAGTTAAATTTTATCGGTTATCCTCTTCCCAGATGAAAATATTTTCACCCTCAAACATATAATATATCCTTAATATATTTCCATTGCTAATATTTAAGGCTATCACAACTTGGAAAATACCTAATAAGTAAGCTTGACCAAGTATAATGAAACAACAATAAAAGTTAATATTTTCTCTTGCTGCTTGGTTGAGATTTGTTTTTGAGTGCTGCAACCTGTTGTTTAATAAGTTGTTATTCCCATCAACCGTTTTAAAGGTATTATTTGTCCAATTGGTATGACTTTGTGTGTTTGAGTTCACACCACCCACAACTAATGATGTATGCAAGAACAAACTTTTCTTTAAGTATGATTGAAAATTCTTTAAATTACTTTCTTCTTCTATGTCCATGAGGTTGATGCTTTCTGGCTTCCTTCTTTTATACACCTTATTGAAATAAGTCAGATCAAATGAATTACCAATAGCATCACTGGTGAAGTCTTTTCTCATATTTGCTGTATTCTTCTTAACCTTGAGTATGTTTTTGTTTGACTGTAGTAAACACGGATGTATTTTCATCCATAAATGGAAACCCAAGGAATTTTCAATATCAGAATCTTTTCGATAAGCAAATCCTCGGTCTTCATTTTCTGACTCGATAGTAACAGTCAGGATCGGGCAGTGTTGACCACAAACAGCATAGAGTCTATCCAAAGAATCACCTTCTTGAAGTGCAGCATGAGACATATTACTGCTAGGTAATGGTTGGTTTTTTATGGTATTATCAGAGACAGGGTGGACTTTGTTACTAACAGTTGTAAAGGAATGAGTGACAGATGTGCACACTCTTTCTGACCCATGATTACTCTTTTCCTCTGTGTGATGATTTGGTACACTCTCTTTAGCACAAGATTTATTCTGAACATCTGAAAAATCATCACAAAAAGGCTCAGAGTCACTACCATGAGGTAAGTTAAAATAATTGCATTTCAGTTCCGGAGGTTGAGTCATTTCCTCCACTTCTGAAGAGGACAACTCAGCCATTCTTGGGCCTGGGGCCAGATTTCCAAAATGTGAATATGGCACATCAGTACTGCTATTATCAAGCAGGGTATCCACTGATGTGGTGTCTGCATTGCCGTACATACCAGGATGTTCAGATGACACCCTGAGCAAATGATTTTCTCTAAGGAGCCACTTACCTTTGTCAATAAGTTCTCCTTCCTCTTTGTCACTAAGGATCCAGTTAGGATCATTTTGTTTTGCATCATTTTCCACAATGTCATCAGCATGATAACTGTCCTGCACATCATTAACATCACATTTACCTTGTCTTTCATTCAAGGGTTCCTGTAACATAGGTGAACTACCAGATACCTGTGCAGAAGAGACAAAAGACTGACCTTCCACATCATAAAATCTTGCTTTCCTAGCAGAGTGAAATTCCACAGAATTATAAGGATAAACTTGAGATCTATGTATAGACCCAGGAAAAAGGGATGGCTTAATAATGTCTGCTTTCCCATACAGCTTTTCTATTGTCCTTTTAACAAATCCTTTGTTGTATTCTTTCTCTTGAGCAATATCATCACTATTGTTGTGGTCATCACTAGATGTGTTACACGGCTGCTCACTCTCACTGTGTGGTCTATCATCTGTCCAGTCAGAAGTCACTGAACATTTGGAACATTTTTTTAAATCAACAGAAGACTTGCAATAACTACTGTTTTCCATGCTTTTCACCATTGTTTTAACTCTCGACTTAGTTTCTTTTGCACTGATGTCCTTTTCAGTACTTTGCTTGGAATCATAACAAAAATCTAAAGATGGTGGTGTCACTTGCCTCCCACTGGCTGTCTCAGAAATCACACCTTGTCTTTTTTCTCCTGTTATAAGATTCCTATTAGATTTGTCTATCAATTCCAAAATTTTACTGGCTTTTAACTCTTTTTCAAATGATTCTTCAGTAGAATTCTCTCTTACATTTACTGTATTAAATAAATCAACGTCCTGGTTTTCTAATTCCTCAAAGGACTCCAATTCTGAAATGTTATTTCTTTCACTTGATATGCTGTTAGTTACGGAACCTGGTTCTTCAGAAGTTCTAGATTCTTCCCTATCAAAGGATGTACTTTTATCCTGAAATTTCTTTAATGAATGATTTTTAAATTCATCTATAGAATTACACTTATCAACTTCTGGATCAGATTTATTTAGGAGAAGGGCACAGGGACTTAAATTACTGTCACTTTGATGTGACAACAATATGTTTAAGTCATTATTATATCCAGAATCTGCTAAAATATTTAGGTCTTTCTGGACTTCATCAACTCTTTTGTACTCTTTGGTTAATTCCAAATTATCTGTATGTTCATTTTCTTTGGAATTTAAAAAGCTGATGGTATTGCAGACTTGGATGGGACTATGGTTATCATAAACTGGGCAAGCTGCCTCACTGATATGTTCCTCTTGAGCATAATCCTTATGGGAAGATATACCATTGGTAGCTAGAAAATAAGCCTTATTCATGGAAGTCTGATCCATTGCACAACCATCACTAGTGAAAAAAGTAGGACTGTGGTTACATATAATATTCTCAGTACATATCTTACATGGAGAATCACATAACTTGCTAGTCATCTCTGAAACACAGAACTCAGCGCAACAGGCCTCACTGGAAGAGTGGCCTCCATCCAAAGACTTTCTTTGTATTCTTTCACTTTCACTGCACTTAGGAGCTTCCTGGATGTTGTCAGTGGTACAATTTGAAGAAGGACCTGCAGGTATCATACCTTGCCTTTTCTCTATGGATTCACTGCAGTTTGTGGTAGATTCCACTAAACAAGCAACAGCAGCCTTCAAGTCATCAGCTTCCTCTGTAATAGCAACATGCTTTAGAAACTCCAACAATGCAAGTGTTTCAGATCTGTTAGTAAACTCAGGTGCATCACCTTGATGGAAACTATTCATACTCTCCTTTAGGTTCAGCACCAAGAGCCAAGCAAGAAGGAGATTGGTGGATACATTATATATTGCTGAAGGTAAAGAGACACCTGAAAGTGGACCTGGCATTTGAAGAACTCCATTCTGAATCTTATGAATACTAGGCACTGAAGCTTGTAGTTGGCGAAGCAAAAGGAATGGTAAAAGGTCTTTTGTCATGTTGTCTTCCATAGAATCTACTTGAATGGCAGCCTCTACACTTTTCCCTTTTATTTCCTGGTACACAAGGCTTACCTCTGGTTCAGGCTTTTCAGTAGATATCTGAGTTTTAGTGTCATGATCATTAATAGCTGATTTCGTCAAAGTACAAAATTCATGCAGGGAAATTAAATAAGCATCCTCCAGAGATAAATCCTGACTTTCACAGAGATCTTTGTTAAGTTCTTCACCATCCTCTTTGGCAATAAGAGATTTACATACCTCTTCACATACATTATCTCTTACCAAAGTGGCATTTTTAGTTACATGCTTATTTCTTTCCATAACAAAATTATTTCTTTTTTCAGAACTTGTATGAGAATTATTTCCTGGAAAACCATTACTATTATAAGTTACCACATTCCTTTCTTTTTTGGATAGTGAAGCTGATTTCCTAGTTTCTAATGTTGAATATGGATTTATGTTTTGCAACCATCTCTGTATATAATTTTGAACTGAATGATGTGCTATATCCTCAGGAAAATCAGCTTTTTTCAAGGAAGCTAAAGAATTTTCTCTGGTTGTGACATGTTGTTTACTTACAATAGCACCTGATTTCAATTTATCCCCTTTTTGTTTTTTCTGGCTCTTCAAAGTTATACGTGAATCATTAACTTTTGGAATGGAACTCCTTTTTGCCATTCCTCTCAAGTTTCTAGATGCCATTTCTTCTTGAGACTTTAGTCCATGAAAACCTTTTAGTTTTTGCTCTAGGCTAAACACATGAAATAAACTTCTATTTTCCATGGTACTTTTGAAATATTTAGACTCATTAGGAAGAAATACTTCATCTCCTTGACCAACTTCTCTCTTTTTAGGTCCTACCAAGCTTACTTTCTTTAATGTTTTGAATTTTCTTTTGGCTAAAAGTCCTTGGGTCTTAAAATTCTGAATCGTATTTAATTTATTTCTGTGGATATTCTTGGAAAGTGTGGGACTGAGATTACTTTGGGAACAAAAATTATTTGATTCAATTGCCTTATCATCTGTATGGGTATCTTCCTCACAAAGCATGTCCCCTTTAAGGGGATTGCCTGAATCTTGCAAGATGGCTTCCTGTGTAATTCTACGTCTGTTTATTCTTGCACTAACATTGGAGAGTCCTTTGGCTGCAATAGCTCCATCCTGATATCTGGAATTTATCACTTGCTGGTGATATTTCTTCTTCTTCCTTTTGCTGGCAACAGATGGCAAAATCTGCTTTTCAATTTCTGGAGGATTGGTTAAGCCACACTGAGCAAATTCATTCACTAGTCTACCAAGTTTTGTCGTGTCAGTAGAGGATCCCAGTGAAGCACGAACCTCAGAAATACTTCTGTCAGTTTCAGAGCTGCTCCTTGAAGAATGAGCTGCATCTGCTGAAGCAGGACCTAATCTATTGGTGGAATTATCATAAGTTCTCAAGTTTTTGCTATCAGTTTTGCTGTCTGATATTACACTATTAACCACACACTCCTCTATAGTTGAGCTTTCTGATATGGTTGGTGGTAAACCATTATTATGTGACATCTTTAACGTCTTCTGACTTGTAATTTCTATAACACCAGAACTTATTGCACTTGACTTAAGGAGTCTACTTTCCTTTTGTCTTTCTAAAGGTGACTCCATCTGCTCATTGTTACTAATCTGAAGAAGTACCGGTTTGTTAGATACTGATGACATTTTACTGCAAGAATGTGTGAACATGTGATACTCAGATTTGTTTTCTCCAGCTTCTCTTTCTTCACTATAAGAAAATTGTTTCTCCTGAACTTCTGTTTCAGATACTAAGGTCACACTCCCTATCACAGATTTCTTTTGTCTTATTCTCCTTGGTCCAGGTGTAGGGGGCCTATAAAAATGATTCTTTACTTGATTCTGACTCTGCTGGATGTTATCTATGTCCACAGCAGTATTTTCCCAACTAGCAGAACTGTAAGTCTCAGCCTTTCTATCTGTCCCTTGCATGTTTATTTCCTCTGTCAAACTACCCTCTTGCTTGCTGCCTGAAACATCTCCAGTAAAGGAACATGTTCCAAGTTTTAAACTAGATGACTGATTATCTGTTCCTCCTGAAAAACTCTCACTCTTTTCAGCATTATTAGAAAGATCAGCTCTATTAACAGTGGTCGTCCACTTTACGGTTTCCTCCTCTTTTATCTTGAATCGAACTTTCATCTCAATGGTCACAGTACCATCTTGATTAAAAACAATTGATTTCTCAATATCATCTTCAGAAGGATAGACTGTTAAGTTCTGAGAATCATGTTTTTCTAAAGCCAAGCAATTTTCATTAGCAAAAGAGTAGTCTGAGTAGTAATGTGTTTTGTCAGAAGAAACAGAATAAACCTGGGAACTTGGGATTGAAGGCATATGTGTGCTCACTTTCAAGATTTTTAAGAATAAAAAATGCCCACATCAAAGTTCAATATGGAAAGCAGAAAAGTTATAAATATCCAATGTAAGAGGCAGCAAAAAAAAAAAGAAGAGAAAGGAAACATTAGTATTTCATAGTATAGTTATGTATCCAAACTCTATGCATTCAATAAATATTTGAGAAAACTTACTATAACACCTGGTATATCCTTTCTTTAAACCACTGGTAAAGAGAAACCTACAATTCTACGTCAATGAGGAAATTAATAGAATTTTAGCAACTTCAATAACATACTTTAATCATTAATTTAATATTCACTACATAAACAGGGTAGTTGTATAATATATTAAATATGACACATAAGACAACACCATTAGACATAAGTCTGGATTTTTACTTTTGTTGTTTTGAGATAGGTTCTTACTACAATAGCCCAGACTAGCCTTAATCTTCAAGTGTTTCAGTTATAGTTATGTGACACCACACACACCCACCTTCAATACCCACAGTCATGGGGCTTAAACTCTGGGCCTGCACACTGTCCCTGAGCTCTTCAGCTCAAGGCAAGCACTCTGTCAACTTGTGCCACTGCTCAACTTCCAGTTTTCTGGTGTTTAAGTGGATATAAGAGTCTCATGGACTTTTTTGCCCAGGCTGGCTTTGAACCACAATCCTCAGATCTCAACCTCCTGAGTAACTAGGATTACAGGCGTGAGCCACTGGTGACCAGCTTTAATATCACTTTTAATGTGCTCTTACCATTAACTCTGGTACTTTTGCTTCTCAAATTCAGTCAAATTCTTAGTAGTTTATATAGGTTTGCACATGTTCACCATCAGCTAATCACATTTAATGTTTCAGTTTAAATCCAAAAATATTTTCATTATTTTTGGTATACTTTTACCAAAATTCTAAGTGAAAATGTTTCACTCTTAATTTATTAAGCAAAACTTAAAGCCCGCAGATTTTTTTAAACGATCAAAAATCCTAATCAGAAGCCACCATCAGACACAAAAGAAGGGTAGGCTTGATGGCACACACCTGTACTCTCAGCTCTGGGAAAGTTAAGGCAGGGAGACTACAAGTTCCAGGCTACTCTGGTCTAGTCCCAGATTACCCTGGGCTATTAAACTGTATTTCGTCTCAAGAAAAGAAGGGAGATGGAAGGCAAAAAAAATGAAATTATTTTAGTGAAAGGGCCAACAGTTCTATCAATGTATAACATACAACTGACAGCCTAATGGCTATAAAATAAGTGCACAATGATGATATATTGAGTATACTGGTGAAATAATTAAATGACAGAAGTGTTTTACCCACATAAGCAAAAAGAATATTACTTCTTAAAATGCATATTATTCCATTTATAAAGACAATGAAAATTTAAAATTCGAATATAATGTATATCAGTATTTTAGGATAGAGCTAAAGTTTCTCTGTAAATACTAAACACAATGAATAATGAGATTAGCATTGACTTAAGAAAGCCCTCCTGCTTTGATATCCAAAGAGTAATGCCTCACAAAGCAGCAAACACAGGGAATTAACCTATATTACTGTTAATCAGCATGAACTGGTTAAATGAACATTTCTGTTAATAAAAAGAGGTCCTATGGACTGATAGTGTGTGTGTGTGTGTGTGTGTGTGTGTGTGTGTGTGTGTGTGTGTGTGTGTGTTAGTGCCAGTCCTGAGGACTGAGCTCAGAGCATGAGCACTGTCCCTGAATTTTCACTCTACCACATGAGCCACAGCTTCACTTCAAACTTTTTTGGTGGTTAATTGGAGATAAGAGTCTCTCAGACTTTCCTAGCCAAGCTGGCTTTAAATCACAATCCTCAGATCTCAGCCTCCTGAGTAGCTAGGATTACAGATGTGAGCCACAGGTGCCTGGCTGAACAGATTATTGTTACAGGAATAATTTCAGAGGACAAAGCATATAAATTTGAAAATAACACAGCATCTCTAATACTCCATCAAGCTCAGCTATGAATGCTTCATGATACTATTCAGAAAACAAAAGGCAACTATCAGCTATGTCACTTAAACAGGTTACATAAAATGCCTCTCCAAAACAATAATTAGGCTACTTTATTAAAAAAAAAAAACTGTGTATGGCTTGCCCATGTAATTGTAACTTCTCTGTATGGTATTTTCACAATTTAAAAAAAAAACTGTGTATGGTGACTTGCACCTGTAAATCTAGCTACTCAGGTAGCTAAGAGGAGGAGGATTCAATTAAAGACTAAACCAGAATAAAGATTCCTAAGACCCCTTTTCAAGCAATATCTGGGTATGTTGGAACACATCTGTCATCCCAGCTTTAGCTGGGATGAGCTTGGGAGGATCATAGTTCTAGGCAACAGGGCAAAAAGTTCACAGGTCCAGACAAATAACAAAACTTTATCACAAAAAAAAAAACAGCAAATAACCATTGCAAAAAAAAAAAAAAAAAAAAGAGTTTGAAATGTGGCTTAGCAGTAGAGTGGGTTCAAACCCTAGTACCATAAAAATTAAAATATAAAAGCATAACTCCTCAATTTAAATATATATATATATATATCATTAGTTGACTTGGAAAAGTCTTTAAAAATTACAATAATCTCTTTCTGACTACAATCTCTTTCTAACTATAAATACCCAATTTCATTTTAGGATTTTTTTAAGCCTCTCATGTGTTCTGTGTTAAATAAAATTGGTCATTAAAGCACTGTTGAAAACAAGAAAAAAATCTCTAGACTAAAGGCCTACATATTTATAGTTACTTACTCTTTCTGTTTTCTGACCTAGCATTTCCCTTCCGGTGCACACGGTGAGAGATCCCTGGTAATCTAGCAGGAAGCAAGTACTTTTGGACGTCATAATTTCCTGGTTTAAATGGCTCTTTTCCTGCTGCCACCACAGCTCCAGAACTCAGAATCACTGCCTGGAGACTAGGAACCTAGAAGAAACCAATGAATCATGGTCCTTATGTGAGCAAGTTTTCTTCTTTTCATGTAGTAATTTTATAACAGTGAATCAATTCACCATCTCCAAGGCTTATAAAAAGATAACCACTCATTTTCTTAGGCTTCAATGATATCTACAAAAATAAATGAAAATAACAACCACAAAAAAGCAGAAACATAAGCCATTGGGAACCTACATACTAGCTGAAGCTGAAGAGAAACAAGTTGGTCTTTGGTCCTAACTGAAAAAAGTCAAATATGCCCTAAGCTGGTCCCTGGTAGCTCAAGCCTGTAATCCTGGATAGTCAGAAGGGTGAGATCAGAGACTTCAGCTCGAAAAGTCTGAGAGTCTTCATCTCCTATTAACCAACATAAAAAGATGGACAGAAGACACAGCTAAAATGGCAGAGCATTAGCCATGACCAAGAGAGTAAAGAGAAAGCATGAGACCCTGAGTTCAGGCCATAGTACCAGTGGGGGGAAAGTCATACATTTCTGCCCAAAGTCTGATGCAATCAAGTGTATGGCTGTACTCAGAGCCACCTAGGAAAGGGCTTATTGAAAACCGTCTGGATAGGAAATGTGGTCTCTTGAGAACATATTATGAACTAGAGATATGCCAGGAGGAATTCCAGGAAAATGTTTTGTCTAACTAGATTGTCAAAACTTGATTCTGTGCCAAAGGAAGACATAATAGTAGAGGAAACTCTTGTGACCAAAACCCAGATTCTAAGGGCAAAACAAAATCACTCTCTATAAGCTCAACAAGGGGAACAGGAAAACTAGAGAGAAGGGAAGGAAGGAGTGATGAGAGGAGGGAGAGAAAGCTCGCCCACTAATGCAGAGAGAACTTTAACAGAGAAATGGAACTTTAAAAAAAGAAGGTGGGAGACTGGAAAGGAACAAAGAGATCTAGAACAGAAACAGAACTCTAAGAGAACTTGAACAAAGAATTGGAACTCAGAGAGAAAAATCTGAGCATAGAAGATGTGGACAGAAGAGAGAACAAGAACAAAGAGAACTGAAGTAGAACAGAAAGAAAAGAGACAAAACTGACAAAGAGAACTGGAAGAACACTAACAGGGAAGTGGAACATAAGGAAGGAACTAGAACACAAGAGAGAGAAGCACAAGAGAGAGCTGGAATGCAGAACTAGAACAGAGAGAGAGAACTAGGGCAGAGGGAACTGAAACAGAACTATAACTGAGAGACATGCAACTCATAAATGAAACCGAGAGCAAGCTGGAACAGAAAGAACTAGAACAGGGAGAACAGGAGGAACTTAGAAACTTATAACAAGAACAGAGAAAGAACTGAAATTCAGAGAGGACTGGAACAAAGAGAAGTAGAACAGGGAAAACTGTCACAGGGAGAACTGGAACTCAGAGAGGCCTGGGAGCCAGGGAGGTCGCTAACAGAGAGGACTGGAACACAAGGCAAGAACTGGAACTTGCAAGTGTAATAGAACTAGAACAGAGAGAACTGAAGCGGGGGGTAGGGGGGGAGAAAGGGGGGGGGGATATAGGACACAGGGAGCAGGGGAACAGGCGGAGGAGGCCAGGGCGGGGGAGGCCAGGGCCAGGGAGGCCAGGGCGGAGGAGGCCAGGGCCGGGGAGGCCAGGGCGGGGGAGGCCAGGGCGGGGGAGGCCAGGGCAGAGGAGGCCAGGGCAGAGGAGGCCAGGGCCGGGGAGGCCAGGGCGGGGGAGGCCAGGGCGGGGGAGGCCAGGGCGGGGGAGGCCAGGGCGGGGGAGGACAGGGCCGGGGAGGCCAGGGCGGGGGAGGCCAGGGCAGAGGAGGCCAGGGCCGGGGAGGCCAGGGCGGGGGAGGACAGGGCCGGGGAGGCCAGGGCGGAGGAGGCCAGGGCGGCCTTTTCCAGGACCTGACTCCCACCAGGCCCCAGACCCGCCCGGTGCCAGCGGGACTTCCCCACCTCTCCCCCACCATCCAGCTAGCTCACCTTCCTTCCATCCGTGGCATACAGTTTGGTCACTGGGCGCTGCATGACCACGGTCAGGTGCTGTAGAAAGGCCTCAAAGCTCTGAGTGACCCTCCTGGTCAGTAGGACTGTGCGCCTGGTCTTGGGGTCGCCATTCTGGAACACCAGGAGCCTCCTCGGGGCGCGGGGCATGCTGGGAGCGGCAGCAACAGTGGGGTGGCGGGACGCATGCGCACTTATGGCGAGGCTGCTGAGCCAGGGCCTCGGGCGCCTGCGGGCCCTGTCCAGGTCCACCGGCTGCACCTTGCGGCCATGCGAGCACAAATAGGACTCACCATCCTCCAGTTCCTCCAGCCTAGTGATATTATGCCGGCCTCGGGGGGTGCTGATGTTCCTCACCCCGAAAGGCAAGGGCACCTTCCTGGACAAATTATCCAGCAAAGCGTCGAAGGTCTTGAAGGAACGAGGGTTGATCACCACCCTGACTCCTCCGAACTGGGGGTCTCCGCTCTTATAGAAGCTGATCCGCTTGGCCACCACAGGATGAGTGATGCTTAAATGACGGCGGGAGGGAACTTGACCGTCAGAAGTTCTATGAATGGTGGAAAAACTAGTAGAAGGAGTCTCACTCATGTTGGCTGAGACCTACAGAGGAAAGCAAATTGTTCAGAATAACATTCTGCAGATGCACCATAGAGAATATATGATAATCCTAATGCATGCTAATTATATTTGATAGACATGCAGGATTGTATTTATTCATTATGCTAACAACTTTGAAGGAAAATTTGAAAGGACCACAGTAAAAAAAAATATATGCACAAAGCAATAAATAAGAACATTTATAATTGAAAAATTAAAAGGCTACAGACAGTAATAAGGATCAACATAAATTATAATGTATATTCCCACTCAGTGGAAAACTTCAGCCATTAAATATGGCTTTATAGATGTGTAATTTGGGTCATAGACCAATGACCATGACAAGTTGGGCATAGTGACTTGATTTTGTATTACTACAACCCCAGCACTAGAGAGGCTGAGGCAGGGAAATCACAAGTTCAAAACTAGCTTGAACTACATACCCAGATTTTGAAAACAAAGATAATAATCATGACATATAACTGAGAAAGTAGTTTGAAAACCATATATGCTATTATGTTGACTTATATAGGAACATCCTTATACTAATTGGGAAACGTCCATAAATATACATGTAGGCCAGTGTTAATGCACATTACCACTGCAAGGCAGAGCTATGAACATTTGTAGGACTTATTTTCATTTTTGTTTTCCTTCTACTAGAGATATAGCCCTGAGGCTCTTACATGCTACACAAGCACTCTACTGCTAACCTACCTCCCCAGCCCCATTTCATATTTATTTTACACTGACTGCTACCTTTCTTGAGACTTTGAAGTTAATAAAGTTACACAATTTACAAAACAAATCCAGAGTTTTATAATTCATCACTGGGTTCTGCTGGTCAACAGTAAGGGAGGAAAATAGGAAAAGATTTTAAAGTTCATATTGTCCTTTGGATGGAACCAAATGAGTATATCTGAAGGATAATATGTACCCAACAATAAGTTCTAGAAGGAAATATCACATAGACCTTCAAATATGAGCCATATTTAGTACCAGATGTTTCCACTGTAAATTAGAAGGGGGTGGGGAGATGCAGGCAAATCATCTGACACATCAACCTGAGCTGGCCATTTTCCTTTACAACTTCTCCATCAAGCTAGTTTTTCTTATGTTTTTTATTTTATTTTATTGTAAAAATGCTGTGCAGAGGGGTTATAGTTACATGAGTAAGGCAATGGGTACATTTCTTGTCAAGCAATGTGTTACCCCTTCCCATGTTGTTCTCCCACTATCCCTTCCCTCCCTGACCTCCTTCACTCCCCCCCCCCCAAACTTGTAAAGTTCATTTCCAATATACAGTCTTATGGTTATCCTTGTTGCAAAGGGTCATCCTGTGTCCTTATTTCAGCGTTTTCTTATTCCCTTTCCCCTCCCCAAATTAGACATATGTATATACAAGATACAAGGTACCAAAATCAAGTACAGTGACAACAGGGGATATGCCATAGAGGAAGAAAATACAAGGGAAACAAAAAAAACACATAGTACATTAAAAACAACAACAAAGAAAGACCTCTTGTGTCCATGTCTTATCTTGGGGTTCATTTCACTTAGCATCATCTTATATGGTCATATGTACATAGCTCATCTGATAAAATTATCATAGATGTATACTAATTATTGCAAATGAGGGAAACCACAGGACCTATATTTCTTTAGGCCTGGCTTATTTCATTTTTTTTCCAAGTCATTCTTTCTGATGGAAGCATAGAATTCCATTGTGTATATGTACCAGATTTTCTTGATCCATTAATCTACCGAGGGGCATTTGGTATGACCATGTTCATCGCAGCATTATTCACCATAGCCAAGATATGGAATGAAGCCAAACTTGCAGTTTAGCTTCTACTAGGATTTATCTGGCTCTAGGCTTGTTTTTCAGTTTATAGTCTTTTGTGACTACTTTCTATTGTTTTAAATCAATGTAATTATTAGTGTCTTTTGATAATAAACAGCCCTGCAAGCCTTGAAGACAAATTGAACAAATAGATGTGATAGGTATTGTGAAGATACAGAAAGGCAAAACTACCTTCTAAATCTAGCCTGGTTCACTCACTTAAATGTTTATAAGCTGTCAGTGAAGACTTTTCTTACATCCCCAAGATTTGCAAATCTTATTTGTATGTAATTTAGGAGAAAGCATTGGAAGATCAGCCTGAAAATTAGGTGTCTCCTCCCTTCCCGAGAGGTTTAAAGTGTTTACAGTTCTTAAGACAATAAAGGGAGCCATCATAGGCATGTGCATCAGAAGCTGGGAAATCCAGCTTTGCAGTGGAGTCAGCAAAACTACAGCCTCCTCTCATCCCAGTCACATAAACTGTGGTCTGACCTTGGGCAGCCTACATAATCTCCTTACCTTCATCAACTATTAAGGGAGCACCTGGCTCAAGGGTCATGGATACAGTTGGATAGGAGGAATAACTCCCAATGTTCTATAGCACAGTGGGATCTGTGGCTGACACAATTAATTGAGTAGTTCAAAAGAGCTAGCAAAAATGATAACTCTCCTCAGTAATAAATGTCTGAGGTGGCAGATATGCCATTCACCCGGGCCTGATTATTACAAATTATATATGCATGTCAAAATATTACAGTGTACTCATAAATATACACAATTACTGTATGTCTATTAAAAATAACATGTAAAGAAGATTGGTTTCTTCTGAATTTAAATAAAAGATTCCAGAACTCTCAACTGCCAATGAATTTTTAGTTTGGTTGACTTATATGCTAAATCTGAAAATATTTAACATGAATAGTACTTGAGACACATTTTCCATCCCATTTTGAAAGTGATATTTGTGAGTATATAATTGTAATTTGTGTGTGCATGTGTGTGCATGTGTGCATGCGTACGCACGTGCACACACATGCATGCTTGCCCTTTGTATTGTCCCTGAGCTTCTTTTTGCTTAAGGCTAGTGTTCTACCACTGAACCACAGTTCCACATCAGCTTTTTCTGAGTTTAATAGAAACAAGAGGCCCATGGACTTTCCTGCCTGGGCTTCAAATCACAACCCCCAGATTTCAGCCTCCTGAATAGGCAGGATTATAGGAGCTCTGGTAACCTGGTGACTACATCTGTGAACACATCTGTGCCAGCCAGCCATATGCTAAAGTTTTAGAGGAGTTTTGTGTTTGCTTTTAGCTAAAATAAGGCACAAGAAATGTTGTACTGGCACCACAGAGAACTTGGAAGATAAAAACAACAGAACAAGGATGAAGGTATGGCTTAAGTAGTAAAGTGCCAGCAGAGTAAACAAGCTGAATTAATGGGAGATCCCTAAGTCCAAGCCCCAGTACCAGGAAAAAATAAAATACTTGCTTTTGTAATAATAATAATAATAGTAATAATAAGGAAACACCCCCACATTGACCCTGTTCCCCTGCTATCAGCCCTGAACATAGTTTTTGAGACCAATACATTCAAGGTAGAAACTGAAAGCTCCATTCCTTGTCCTACAAAGCTGCCATGTGTCAGCAGATGAGGAACATTGGCAAAGAAAGTACCCACAGCCAAACAATTCCCATGAACCTTGACAAAGAGATTATAGCAAAAACAACATCCTGTGAGTCCACACCATCCACATCACATTGAGAGAACCTCTGAAAACTCCCAAAATTACTAGAAAAAGTCTTAGGCAATGTTGGGATTTTCCATAAATGTGAGCCAGGATTAATAGCCCATATATGGTTAAGTTGGGCCTTGCATGTAAATCACAGAACACAAGATTTAAAAGTATCATTAAATAAAAGCATCTATGTTCATTCAGTGCACACTATCATCATAGTGGAAAAGGGCGCAAAGCAAATTTCTTCCTGAGGAAATAGGTCAGTCTTTGCCCTAATGTGCATTTCCTGGTAGTCCATGGGAAATTCAGAGAGTAATTCAAAAGCACAATTGTGGATGAGTGCCAAGAGAATATTCAGAAAGGGATTTCTAACCAAGATTGAAGATAGGAATAGGAAGAAAGCAATTTCCAGAGGAAAGTCCTATAAAGCTGAAATGCTGAATGCAGGGTGATGGAGATGCTCTCAGCAAATAGACAGGAATAGTGCAGCATCTAGCCAGTGTACCAGAGTGAGCCCTTACACCACATGACAGTAGAATGCCCCTCTCATGACACTGAGCTAGGTTAGGTTAGCCTGTGTTAACTACAGTCTTTTCTTAATCAGTTGATCAGGCTAATCAGAATTTGGCTGGAAATTAAACAACGTTTCTTCATATATGTTTTAATAATAAGGTATAGTTTTTTTATATTCTCTGTAAATGGGATAGGGCAGTGATATGCTTAGGAATTACCTAGGCAACAAACCAACTAAAGAGCTTAAGATGGGTTAATTCTTCTCCAGAAGTTTCTACTGAGGAAGAAGTAGAGGTGGGAACAGGTAAAAAGAGGAAACTGTAGAATCTAGAAGCCCTCCATTTTCCTCCCCACTAACCCCTGGATGTAGCAAGGGAGTTGGCTAACAAAAATCTCTTTCCCTGTAGCCCAATTTACATTAAAATATGTAACTAATAACATGATATCAATATCTTCCCCTCTTCTCTGGTGAACCTCTTATTGCATAAAATGACCATGTAGCCATCATGAATACTTTCATATTTTGATATGAGGCAGGTTTTTCTAGTTAATTTATTGTTATTATTATAGAGGTGATGTACTGAGAGATTGTGGTTACATGAGTCAGGGAATGCAGCAGACTTTTTAAACATTCTCTGGTTCACAGATTCACTATTTCTATGCTTATCTGTGATGTCATTGGTCTCAATCAACAGTGTACTTAAACATGCATGACAGCATATGCACACAAACATTGTGGGAGGCAGTGTGGGGAACAGAAATGGAGGGAGGAAAGATGAGCAAATGTAGTCATTATATTCACTGTACATTATGTAAAAATTGAACTATATAACTTGAGGATAAGGATATAAGGGGTTAATGGGGGAGAATGATGGAAGGGAGACATATACTCACAACTT